AATGCAATTGTTTCTCCTCTGTTTATACTTGTATTCTTATTTGTCTGTATGCTCTTATATTCTTGTATTCTTGTATTCTCGTATTCTTGTATTCTTGTATTCTCGTATTCTTGTATTCTTGTATTCCGCCTATCTCTGTATTAGATAAAAAGTGCGTTTTTGTGTGTGAGTCGTTAAGGCCTTGGTCCAACTTTCCCTCATTTTAGGCTTTCTGACGAGTCTGGCAAACTTGTATTTGAGCTCGTCTCAAAAGGCAAGGTCCCCAAAAGCCTGCTTACCGCCAAGGACGTCTTCTTCATTGACTCTGGAAAGGAATTGTTCGTGTATCTTGGAAATGGTTGCTCTTCCCAGGAGCGCAAAAACGCCATGTCCCACGCCCACGTACGTTACTACCTACCATTCTACTGTTTAACATTTGAGTAGCAGCCACTTGATGTCGTGATTGGCTAAACTACTCTGTTTTTGCATGCCTCCATTTTAGGAATATTTAAAGAAATCCTCACATCCGCTGGCCCCCATCACAGTCGTCAGTGCAGGACAAACCTGTAGCGAGTTGGAGAAGATTTGGGATGGTTAACGCAAAAACGGGTCTCCCCGCCTCGACGACAGCTCTACCAAGCCGTCTTGCGCCCGTCGACAAGACTATTTGCATTTCATACCTAATAACCCGTGCCTTTATTCTGTTTAAATTTGCTTTGATTCATTTTCATTCGAGCTCAACTTTTGCACAACTTGCATCATCTTAGTCGAAGGTATGAAGACCAGGATGGTGTGGCCTTCGTTGCATAGCAGTTGTATGACCTCGGTTTCGCAACTTGGGCATATTGGCAGGGAGACGTAGAGGAACACACCTTGTCCCAAGTCCATAGTAGGCATGATCATTTCCAGAGTCGCACCGTCGACTTGGTACGTTACCAGACGTTTCGCCAGCTGCGTAGTCGGCATCATCCATGAATCTTGCCACGCTCAACAACCAAGCTCAAGGGGTCGGCTTCATTTGTCTCTTTGACGAGTTGTAGCTTTGTCGCTGAGAGTGGCAGGACGCACTGATTATGCCGACTACGATGGCGGAGAAACGTCTGGAAACGTGCCAAGTCCATGGTCCGAGTCTGGAAATGAACCTGCCTACTATGGACTCCGG